GGTGGGACATGGCAGCCCTGGAAAAGAATTAACTCTTGATTTAATTCTTTTCCAAACCAACTTGGGATTTAATTCTTTTCCAAAACAACCTGTACACAAAATCTATTTTACCATTTTGCCCACAAAAGAATCAACTCAGGATTTAATTCTTTTTGAAGGGACCCAAATAGCAATAAAGTACCACATTGGGTAGGAGGCACATAAAAAGAATTAAATCCTGAGTTGATTCTTCTACAATAGGGATGGTACCAAGAATTAACTTGGGAGTTAATACTTCTCAGGGGGTAGCTGATAGGTACCAAAAGATGAAGAATTAACCCAGGAGTTGAGAATATTCAACTCGGGTATTCACTCCTTTTCCCCTTTGGCAATAGACTTGTGATGGCTTACTAGTAGTAACAAGAAGCTAGTAGTACTAAGTCTGACAATTCTCAAAAGCGAGGCAGCCGGCGGAAATAATGAGAAGCCGAAGACACCTCGTTTGGGCGCTCTCAACACCTGGGGCCCGCAAGATGTAGGTCGTGGCCTTGAGGTTGAGCTTTGGGTTTGGGGGCCTTCCTGTCAACGGCTGGCTCAACTGCGAACCTCTTCAGAAGTGCAGCTGCCAGCCAGCAGGCAGCCACAAATCCAAAAGAATGATTGGGTAGAGGAGGCAGAGCACGTCCCCCGTCGTGGTAGCCACTGGGTAATGAACCAGATGGCTCACTGACCAGATAACCTCCAGAAGGGGAGTTGTCCAGCATCCGACGAGAACTTGGAGACCGCAGAAGTAGTAGCCAGAGAACCTGCGCGAAGGGCCCTAGAAGACTTGACGGCCTCAATCAAGATGCTGAGAGCTGCGGGCCCGTTCATGCAAATACGCCGAAAGGCGTATTGGAAGCTGAGGACCAGAGGGCCTGTCGACCAGGAAGCATGTCAGGAAGGTCAGAGATGACCCGCAATGAGCCAGGCAAGAAAGCTTAGGGCCAAGAACCTAGCAAGCTCAGCAACCCAAGGCGGCATGAAAGCTTTGAGCCAAGCTCCCCGGTGTTCAGGATGAGTGACCAGCTTTAGCTTACTCATGAGGTTTGTCTGGGAGAGGAGTGGCAGTGTGAGAAAAAATTGAAAAAAAAACACGTGGTTTTCACACGCCATCTATGTCTGACAATATGTCTCATTATCGTATCATATGCACATCAGGTCTAAGAAAGGCAAACAAACGACTCCTCTCAATAGTCTAGTCTTAATATACCTTCATGGTTGCATCATATGCATCAGCTGGTCGCGGTTGTATAGTTTTTTTTATAGTATCATATGCATCAGCGGGTTGCAATGGTACAGTCTGTTGTACATATTGCTTGCGACTTAATGTAATTTGAACCCAAGAAAAGCATAACAATTTGGCGGGAGTCAAAATATATCCAACAATGCTTGAAAGTTGCAAGTAAGACACAACTAAACAATTTGTAGATGGGTCCAAAAAGAGAGTGATTATTATAAAGACGTCTCTATTTTATTCATCCACTTCATGCTGCGTTCTTCTCTAAGTGCTGTGTCGATCATGCACCCTGTATATATAGTTATTTTATTGTATATATTCACTCCATTGTTCGACCCTGGTGAAATTGCACATTTCTCGGGGGTCCAAATTATATTCATGTGCAGACATTGTTGGATATATTTTGGACCCCGTATTTCCAACGATGCTTGCAACTAAACGTAAGAGGGAGCAACAAAAAGAGTGATTGTAGATTCAGCCACTTCACGCTGCGTTCATCTCTAAGTCTTGTCTCGATCACGCACATTGTAAAGCTTGTTGTACCTACTCACTCCACTTTTCAACCCACTTGAATGGGCGATTTCTACGGGATCAAAAAATACATCCACGAATGCTGGCAAGCTGCAAGTAAGACATAACTTTAAAATTGCTTGTCAGAGGGTCAAAAAATAGAATGATTATAGAGACTTATTTTACCCTCTGTCTGAGAGTCACTGGTGCGGGCGGTTGTTGTTGCGAAGCGACCCGAATAGCTTGGGGCTTGTTCATCGTAGCATGCCCGGCATTGGGCTAGTCAAACATGTTCCTCTCATATGAGCACCAACTAACGATGAAATCCCATATTGTGGATATCCTGACGTGATTGCGTCACAGTGTCTAGCTGCGAGTCTTTGCGCGTGCTTGTGCAGGACTGCGCTGACAAAAAATAAGTTGTAATGTCTGCGTTGCCATTGTCCACTGGGCTCCATTTGTCATGCTGGTGGATAATGCGGCATTTTTGTGGATGCCATCGACCGATGCCATACAAAATATCAAAATGGCCTGGTTGTGGAAAGACTATGGGAAGACTCCAAAGACCCAAACCGACCTTGTTCTTGGATGTTCCCTTCTGGAACAGGGTTTTGGTATTTTTCTTTGCAGGCCAAGGTGATTTAGGAGTCTTCTACAAACTCAAACATCGCTTGGGACATCAGTGGGAAGTCAACATGCGCACCTCCGAAACTCAAGCATGTCCTGCAAACCATTACACATGATCGGCAAATACCTACTACTCCTCCGCTCCTGGCAAATACCGCCGTAGTGCAAGAATGGTCTACATGAGATGTGTGAGTGTCACCTGTTTGTCTCCTCAACATCCCCAGATGGCTGTGTTGTCCACAACAGTGAAAGAACATATGGCATGTACTGAAAAGAAACAAAACCAAAAACGATGAAGAACATAGCAAAGTGAATGGACTATATGTCAGCCACGGTGCCAATGCACGAATGGTGCGCCCAATGCAGAATAGAAGGCTCTTCAAAGAACGGACAAACTTCACGACCCTCAGAGAAGAGGGAGGCATGCATACAGAAAAGGTCTCAAAAAGAAACGGAAAAGAAACCATCCTCCTTTTTCTCGAGGGGGTACTAAGGGTATCTAAGGGTACTAGTGAGCTGGCAGCAAGTAGGTAGCTACTAGTAAGCAGCGCTGCTCGGGCTTGACAGAAGCTCTCCTGCCTGAGGGCGGGGAGCTTCCTTGCAGAACTTAAATATATAATTGATTTGGTTCATAGATGTTTGGGTCATTTGATGTGGTTCGGGGCCTGCCTTCAAGTCTTGACTGTTGCAATGCGGTAGATCTTGTGGCTTACAATGCTGAGACACTTACATGGAGCAAGAAGCATCTGTGACCACTGTAACCACCTGTAGATGTACCAACCCCGGTTATTCTTGCTGGCCTTTCCATATGATGTACTGTAGACTATGACTGTGACTGTATGTTCATTTTGGAGCCCAGGATGATTTGTTCCGTGTTCTTGGGCTGCAAGTGTGCGTTGAAAGGTTTCAGGCTAGTTGTTGGTGGCACAGCCAGGTCCTATTGCTTGTCCTTCCTCTGTTTAATCTGCTGTTTGCGCGAGGGTTTCTAGCACGTGTATTCGAAGGAATGGTTTTTCCAGGCGAATGTTCTGAAAGTGCCATATCCATCATTCAGGAACAATGATGCCTGATGTCATGTTTAAAGATGACAATGTCAAGGCTCTTTTTACTGGTGTGTTGAAAAGAGACCAACATACTATAGAGCCCAAAGCGCGAGAACTCAAAGTTCACCAGAACAGCATAGGCCGATAAACAGATCCGCACAAGGCCTGGACAAAGCCCTCACCAGGTGGAGAAGAAAGGCACAGCACCGGTGGGCGCGGCCAAGTGGACAAGGCGGAAGGAGAAGGACACAGGGCTCGCGAGCGCAGCCAGGCCAAGGAGGACAGCAGGAGGACATGAGGGCAAAAGGGGGATACGTGGGCGTAAGCGTAGCTACAGTTACAGGACAGCAGCAGCACACCGCAAAGACAAAAGGAGGACGCAGGGCTCGCAAGCCTGGCACGAAGGGCACCAGGAAGACAAGAGGAGGACACAGGGTTCGCCGGCGCAGCCAGAGGACAGCAGGAGGACAAGAGGTGGACACCGGGTACGCGGGAGGAGGACACAAGTGTCGCGAGCGCGCCCATGCAACAGGACACTCGGACACAGGGCTCAGGGGCACGGCCAAAGCCCAACATGACACCACCATGGACCCCAAACAGCTTCCTGCCTCAGAAAGCAACGTAAACAGCACCTGAAGAAGGACAACAAGAAGGCGACAGAAGAACATGTTGAGGACAGGGCCCAAAAGATTGACAAGAGGAGAAGAGGAGGACATCCGGACCGGGCTCGCCGGCGCGGCCTGACACTGCTTTCCTACGAGAGAACCCCGCTAGAAGAGGACAACAGGAGGGCAAGGAGAGGACATCGGCTTCTGGGGTCTTTCTGGAGTCGTCTTGCTATAGTGCCTCCCTGCTTTGTAGTGCACGCTCACATGTTGTCATGCTTGCGTGCTGACGGGCTGCTAGGTGGCCATGCTGCTGTACTGTGGTCTTCGCGCTTGCCGGCTGGCGCTTTTCCACTAGGTCACTACGTGCCACACAAGACTGGCGCGTTTGGGAGCGGTGCTTCGCACACTCACGCTGTCATGGTGTCATGTTTACATGCTGCCATGCTGACATCACACCAGCAGAAGGACAAGTGGACAACAGGAGGACAGGGTCTGGAGACTGGCTGGCACCCGCGGCCAAGCTGGTGTCAACAAGAGGACAACCAAAGGAAAAGAAGAGGACAAGAGGAGGACAAGAGGAGGACAACGGGACGACGAGAAGAAGACAAGAGGAGGAAAAGATAAAGAAAAAAAGAAAAAATAAAAAGGTGACAGCAAAAGAACAACGCCCGGAAGCAGCGTTCGCCGGTGCGGCCAGAGACTGTGGCCAGCTTCTTTTTTCCTAAGAGAGAACCCCAACGGTAAACTGTTTGGGGAACAAGTACTTACAGCAAGTGACCATGTTGCTTCCGCATGTCATTTGAGCTTAAGGCTTAAGCCCCCATCAAGTGGCTATCCGATAAAGCATATTTAAAAGGTGGCGGAGCTTTGACTTGAAGAAGAAATGCCGATCTCTAAGAAGGATGCTTTGAGGCTACAGCTTCCGGTTTCCGGCCTCACGATCCGAAGGGCACGTGTAACTTTAGCAACCCGCAGGACGCGCAGGAGACGCATGTTGCTGATTGTACTGGATGAATGCTCCTCAGGGCTGCCAAAAGAAAACACCCACACTTCGTGACTGACACACAACACTTGTATGACCCAAAAACATGAAACTCAATACCTCACTACGAAGCCTCAAAAGTGACGATACATGTTTCCATTTATCTAGATATTGCTCCCGAAGACTCATCCAAGGGTTCGTCGCTAGGCTGTTCTAAGCTAAATAATGGAGTCAAGCCCGGCAAACCCCAAAAGCACCAACGGTTGATGCCACCTGCATTCACTTGGGGCACCCTTGTCAGCCCAAGGCCTTGCCTGGTGCATGGGCAGCTCCAAGGCAAACTCAAAGAGGCTTGATAGCACCACAGCGGTGTCCAAGGCCATCCAATGCCAATCCTGGCTGACCGAATCCCGATGGCCTCCAACCTAGAAGCGATGGCTTCCTACCTAATAGCAAGCTCATTCAATGGATGACTGAGCAACTCTGCCCATGATAGGAATCTCCTCTCGCTCTCAGCTTCTTTCATCGTGTCTGCTATTCACAGGTGCCCAGCGGCTAGTGTGGCATCACTGTTGGTGAGGCGAGGCTTCACCAGTACAAGGACAAGGGACTTATCTGTTTTTTTCAGGGGACTGGTGATGTGTGATAGTTTGATGATATGTTTCTATTCTTTGGTTGATGCAACCCCCAAGTCTGCGAATGTTAGGATGCGCAAACACTTCTTTGTCAGATTGAAGGGTGCAAAATGCTACATTTCGTGCCGTACACCCACATTAGATCCTAGAATGGTCTTGTCCACTGTGGCTTCATCTCTTTTTTCTGTTTGTCGTCTAGTTGTTGGTTCTTTCTAGCTGTCCTAATTTGCATCTTGTCAAAAGGCCATGACGCCCTGCTGGCACATGTCTCTCAAAGTTGCTCCTCAGACCCTCCAAAACTGCAAGGATTTGTGGCGAAGAGTGATTTGTGTAGAAGTAAACATAGCTACACCCACTTTAAACCACTTGTTCTGTAACTCAACAGCGCTTTGTGGCTGCTCCAAGGTACAGCAAGGCCTTCCCTTTTTTGATCTGTGTTTATTCCTTTTCCTAACACTTGCTCAGTATATGGGAGGTCCTCTCCACAGAACACTCGCGGTCCCCAAGCTGCGATGCGAACGATCCATTCAAATGTAAACCTTGGAGAGCCGCTTCATCTCTTGAAGAGTATCTTTCACAAATCGAAAGGAACATCGGGATATGACATCACTCACATCAAAAATCTATTTGTATGACCATTCTGACATTGTTTCGAAGGTCCAAACGCATGCTCCTCCAAACACAAGCAAGACACAAAGCCAAAAGCAGCAGAGTTGTTTGCAACATCCCCCCGCTAATCTTGCATCCATGGAGCAAAAACGTGTACGCAGAAGCAATGAGAAATAGAACGGAATCTGGTTTCGAGCCTGACTACGGGTCTCTGGAAACGGGGTTCCAGAGCCTAAAATGATTGAACACAAATTTTGAGATACAAGTATATTACAAAAGAGACAAGCACCGCAACGCTACAAAAAAGGCCTGGTAGTGTGGCAGTCGAATGGCCACTCAAAAGCCTGTGTTTCTTATATAAGTGCTGTTATATAAGTATATTATCCAATGCATCGACAAAGATATACCATCAGTCTCCCGGTCTGCTTTTCGGTACAGGTCACATGTCCTTCCTTTGCTGTTTGTCGAGACATGTTCTGAAACACGTGTCCCACACTCGCCGCACCTAGGTTCCTTGCTGCAATCTCCACTTGATATGCAATGAAGATGGAGTTTGTGAATATCCTCGGTTCAATAACAAGCAAGAAAGGAAAACCAAATTGACCAAGGAAAGCCAGTCTCTACAGTAAGGAAAGGCATGAACAAAGGACATGTTGTAAGTCGTGGCAGCTATCCTCGCAACACGTACTGCCGTGCGGTTTGGTGACACCTACTGCCATGCAGTTCCTTCTTTCACAGCAAGATTTGGTTTCACATCTGAAACATGTGATGTCTTGAAAAAATATGTCAAGGATGTAATGGAAGAGCCAAGTGCAAGACCCTCAAGCATACTGGCAGTGCTCAGGTCCGGGCACTGCAGCAAAGAAGATTTCAAACCTTGGCGACAACATGAACAAAATCAAGTGAAAGCTTGGAGATGGCTATCGCTGCAACAGCTTTTCCGTCGTGTTTCCAAGTCGTTTGGTTCAGTTCCTTGATCGTTTAAAGGATGGTGGGTCAGACGCGTTCTGGAAGAAAGAGAGGAAGAGATCGCCTCACTACAACCGCCAGAAAGCCCTAGAATATCAACGTACAAGGAGCGTCTATGGGACTGGCAACAGCCCAAATGACCCAGTTGATACAAATAGTAGCGCAACAGTCGGAACCAAGTCGGAACCCGTTGGTCTGGAGAACTTGGAGTCAAAGGGTGACAGGTCCGGATCCTGCAAACAAGTCACACCCAGGAGCGCACAAGTCGTCTCAAAGGCACTTGCCACCAAGTCGGCTTGGCCTTGTCGCCGTCTTCGCACAAGCAAGTTGTTTAAAAAGTCTCAGTGGCTCCTTGACCAGCGCTGATTAGATTCCTCCAAAGGCCCTGCTGTAATAGAAAACACAGTGTCAATGTTGTTTGGCTCTAGAACTCTGTGCAAGTTTTGACGTCTTCCTTGCCTCCCTAGACAGCCGCTGGAACAGGGAGACATCTTCTCCGTCTTCCTGAATTGCTGTGCGTCGACAAAGTTCTTGCATGTCCAGCCTGTGATGTGTTATTCTGGCACATGTGTTCCGTCTACAATATGTTTGGCAATGCAGAAAGAAGGTTATATAAGTATCAATCCAGCATTAAGTGCTCCTGTCCTTCTCGCCCAAGACTGATAATCGACGACTGAACGTACCATCAGCTGTGACCTGGTCACAAGAATAGTGGTGCTTTCAAGCGAGCAAAGGGCCTAAGAACATGTAAGCCAATGTAAGCATTGCTGAAGGAAAATATAGTGGGTTGTCATACTGGCTACTAAAGGGCCCGTTACTTCCATAGTTGTTCTTGACGTAGGTCATTTGCTGGCAAAACACTCATCATTGTTGAAGTGCTCAACGTACGAAATTGGGTCATTGGGTTCATTGTGAATACTGTCAAGCAAAGCGGATGGTTTGCATTAGAGTCTCTTGAGTCTGAGTACTTGTGTCTCTTGTTTCTCGGTCAATAGAAACTTATACTGTACTTCAATTCAGTTCAAGTCACTTCATGCATGTCTGGGTATGGGCAAGGTATTGGTTTATGGGTATATGGGTGGCTCACACCTGACCTCTTTGCTCCACTGCTCTACTTCCTTGCTCCTTCCGTCTTCCCTCCTTTCCCACTTGCCACACCGCACAGGGCAAAGAATAAAGAGTACAGAGATAAGAGCAAATTGGAAGATCAAAGTAGATGAGAGGATGTACAATTGCCGGGTTTAGTCACCCGGGTGACAGAAAGTCACCCAGCCGCATGGGCACGCTACTGTAGTGGAAGTCACCCGACTCATGGAAGGTCGCCCAAACAAAAATGCAACACAATGACCACGCTATGCACCACATCCTCCTGCCCAAACTCGAAACGGCATATTTGCCTACACTGGGACGAAACGATCATTTTGGTGTTGATGTCTTGTTGTTCGGGTGTTGAGTCACCATGGCCATGCTCACTCCAGGTAGTGTTGTGAAGTCATGTGTCCTTCAGGAAACCAAAATACGAGCTTAAAATAATTCATGCGTATGGAATTTTAGGAAGAATTTGTGACCCTGTTACATGAAGAGAGATTTCACGAGTGCCGCGCGAGTCGCAACAATCCAGATCCCACCTCTCGCCCCAAGAAATTATCCCAAAAGACGTGTTCGGAGAACGATGAAAGTAACCAAATACTGACACACATATGAGAGCACACATTAAAAGAACAAGCACATGAGAACACACATATGAGAGCACACATACCAAGCCCGACAACGTGCACAGCACCACAACGAGAGCGCAGTCGAGGAAAGGACCCGCGGCAACCAAAGGCTTCCTGCAACCCTTCGCAATGGAAACCCTTGAGAGTCATGGATTTTACTTTATATTATATATATCCAAAACCTTGCTCTGTTGATCAACCTTGTCGGGAGACTGCCGATTGACGGGGTCCAGACAAAGAAACAACATCGGTCTGCGCGGCGTGACGCTGGGCGCCTCCATTGCGTCTGCATGCTTTGGCTGTCAAATGACCTCGACACTACTAGAGCCCCCCGCGCTCCCACGCTACGCCTGTCGGCATATCTGCGGCTCGCAGTTTGCCCTCCCTTGCGGACGCTGCCAGATCCAACAGCCCTCAGCAGGAGATGCTCTCAGGGACAGAACCCCTTTGCCATCGGTGGCTTCTCGTATTCCTGATCACTGTGTGGACTTGCGCAATCGACTTGGTGCTGGTGCTTGGATTGCTGGCCACTCACCTCAAGCCATATTCACCATACAGCACCTCGTTCTGTACTTGCCTCAAAGAGTGGCCACCTATGCTGGGGGTTGCAATCATAACCTCGGAGCAAATTGGAAGGTCCTGCACAGGAGGCAAACAAAGGGTTGCTGAAGTGCTCCTGCAAATGTGAATTATCATAATGCGATGGCGTGATGTCGTCCCTACAGCGAAAACCCTTTGCAGCGCTTCTCAACACGCGGCCTTCTTGATACGTCTAATCACATACCCTGTTAAGGCCATCGTGGGCCCAATGTACGCGCCGATGCAGCAACTACTCTGCTGTTGCAGTCAAGAGCCCTCACTCCGGAATTCATCTCTCCGCTATGGGCCCTTTCATCCATGGAATCTTGGCGCCTGCACCTTGGAGCCAGAGGCACACCGTAGCAGGCCTCTGTGGAATGCCGTTGCCAGCCGACTCAAGGCTACCCATAGTCTTCTGCACGATCACTTTGGCTATGGAAGAGCTTCTGGAATTCCTTCGTGCCCATGAGCTGCCCTTTTGCTTGCCCCAGCTGCTAATTACTTCATTGATGCCTTCCTCCTCCTGTTGAGCAAGAATGCGCTCTGCATGCTTGATGTGTTCAACTGCTGCCGTCAGCCCCAAGCCGGATGTGGTGCAATCGCTGAACTGGTGGTGCACAAAGTCCAAGAAGGACAGTCAAGGCTGCAATCACGTCTACCATCTTCACTTTTCGTTTTCTTTTTATCTTTATGATCTTTATGTGTGAATTCCCTTTTGATTTAGTTGATTTCCTATTGAATTCATGTTGATTTCCTTTGATTTCCCTTTAAGCTCTTTAGCTGAAAAGCCAAATAGCTGAGAAGAGTGGAAGAGCTAAAAAATAGAAAGAGTGAATATGTAGAAGAGCCGAAAAAGAAGAGCCGAAAAGCAGGAACAGGTAGAGAATCATTCGGGGCTGAGCATACAAATATATAATACACAATATGTTATTTAGTAACTCCCTAGTATTCTTACAAGTAGTTCCCGGGCAAGCCGGCGGCGGAAGTTTCCTATAAGAAGACATTGACCTATAGGAGTGTCCACGTTCTCTCCAACATGCGTGTCCTCCAGTCAAACGCACGCGCTCCGGACTTTTGACCCACGGGATTCCACGTGTGTAAGGTGTGTGTGCCCCCTGCGAGAGATGACACACATCCGGCCACCACGACTTGCCAAGGATGCGGTCCACATCGGACTGAATGGAATCCGAATTTGAATGTAAAATCTGTCTTGAACTCTGAGACTATGTATGATGAGTCTTGTATGATGAGGGGTGTATGACAAGTGATGAATGATGAGTGGTGTATGTTGAGTGGTGTATGATGAGTGGTGTATGACGAGTGGTGTATGATGAGTGGTGTATGCTGACTGGTGTATGATGAGTGGTGTCTTGACCAGCAGTTGAATGTCCTGTCCAGCATAACTGCAACCAAATACTATCAGTATGAACTGAACG